TATATATATATATATATATATATATATATATATATATATATATATATATATATATATATATATATATATATATATATATATATATATATATATATATATATATATATATATATATATATATATATATATATATGTAGATTGTAGGAATAAATAATGGGAGAATAACATTATATACTCCATGAATTGCAGTAAATAATATTAAATTGTTAATTTCAGTACTTAAATATTTTTGTACCACAAGATATAATTTTAATATAATTTATTAAGAAGTTTATTATTACTTTTTCAAGTTTAATTGTTTTTTAATAGAGGTTACAAAGAAATAAAAACAAAAAATAAAGGATGGAAATACTTTGATAAATCAAGAAGGCGTTACTGTATATAATAAACAAATAAGAAAATGCTATAATATATAATAAAAATTGGTAATAACTATAAAAATGTTACCACATTGATAAAGTAATAAAAATTTACGATATTAAGTTGAAAATGCATTTAGGAGGGAAAATGCTATGGGTTTTATTATATGGCCGGCCAGCAATCTATATATATATAATAATAATTGATTTAAATCAAATATAGTAAGCATTACCCGTCATTAGCACTAATTACATTCTAATTATAGTAATTTTACACAATTTCTTAATATAAAATAAGAATATATATAAGTTTTATTAATTTTTTTATTTTTATCTTTGAAAAATCATACGTCATTAAATATTGCCTTAAATTTCGATCTTTAATTCATTTTATTATTTAAAAATTTCGGCTAAGATCTATTAAGTGTGCATGTTTTTATTTTTATTTTTTTTCTTAGAAACAACGAAGAATATTAAAATCTCAATCTCTATATTTATAAAATCTCAATTGAAAAGGTAACAAAAGTTTTAAAATAACAGTCTTTATATTTGTGCCTTTAAAAAAATATGGAACGCTATCGCTTAAATATCATTTTTCACAAATCACCACATTATCAATTAATTTTTTTACCAATCTATTGTTTTTTCTAAACTCGGTTTCAAAAAGTAGAATAATTTTCAAATTCGCAGTCTCAATAGTTGTGCGTCTAAAAAGAAATATTTAATGATAATATATTATTTGTTAATAGTACACGATTTTGAAAACTAAATTATATATTATCTGTTAATATCCAAATCATTTTATAAATGCAACCGGCTTTGTTATATCTCCACGAAAATATGGTAAAACAAAATGAGACGATCAACTTTGTATGGAAATAAAATAAAATCAATAAATAAATATGAAGTTCACAGGAAATGAACATAATTAGTAATTTGAATAGTGCATGGATATCAAAATTAATACTCACGTGGTTTTTAAAATTCAAACTTATACTTATAATCATCTTTTGAAAATTGAATAATATATTGTAGGCAATATTTTTTTTAAATAGTTTTAGACATGTTTTCTTTATAAAATAGTTTAGAAAAATTTTAGGTGACTTCACATCTTTCAATAATGATATATAAAATTTTAGATACTTTACATACGTTATATAGTATTTTAGGTGTTTTTAATATTTTAAACATATATTTTTTATGTTATTTTATACAAGATAATTTAATATTGTTTACAATGGATATATGATAAATTATGTCACATATGAACTTCACATATTAATTTATAATTATTATTAAATTTGTTTACTCTTATATTTAATTTATAATTAGTAATTAATATTGTTTACGATCATCTTTAATTTATAATTATTAGTTAACATTATTTACCCGTACATCGCACGGTATACACTTGGAAGTTGGGAGATCAAAGAAGTCACAAACAATAATCAGCCACGTACACAATAATCAAGTCAAAATAATTTAAGACACGAAAAATTAGTGATGAGTGAGATTGAAGTAACGATGATGATGAATAGTTTCATGTTGTATTTAGCTTGCCTCACTCTCCTCCTCGCCCTCCTTACCATCTCCCTCGTCAACTTACTCTTATTCTCGAAAAAACAAAAATCGAAACCTCCCGCCAAGTCCGGCGCGGTCCCTCCCGATCCTGGGCCATCTCTACCTCTTGAAGATCGAAACATTCACGTGCGATGCACGTGCACTTTACTAGTATGAAAAATGTACATAGTTGGTTCCCTACTAATAATAACATTACAAACCCTGAAAATGCAAAAGAAAACTAACAAATAACTATTCCTGCCAGAACCCTAGCGGCACTAGCCCTCGTGAATTGGTAGCTTTTTAATGCCAAACTCTCAGTCGCCCACTAAGGCTGCTAGCGGCGTCAGTTCGGGTACCTTAGCGCCGCTAGCCTCTGAATAGCTGCCACTTTTCTGTATTTTTATTCTTGCTCGTCGAGCCCGATTATACGCGTTCTTCAGCTGACAGCCCTCACACGCATCAACACCTCCGACATCTTTGCAGGTCTCCAGGGAGCAAATAAATTAAAGGACCGTTGGAATGCTGATTCGTGTTGCGAGAGCACATCAAAACGCATATGTAAGAGCTTAACTCATGGGCCAAAGTAACTTATTATTAGCTGGACAAAAGAGTTAATAACCGATTATTTGGCCTAAAGTTTGGATGGTTTTTCTTCATTCATAAATAATTTTGCGAGACAAGCTGACATAACTAGATACGAATTATTTGATCATTGCTTGCGTCATTTTAATTAAGCACTTACTTTTTTAGTTATGCACTTACACAGTGAGGAGAAGGAGCCTCCCTCCACATTATTTAACTTGTTAAATGGGAAATGAAATCTAGAAGAAAGATAAGCAAATCTTCTGATGTGTTGAGGAAATTATATTTAATTAATTGAGGTATTAATAATGAAATAGAAGCTTCCCTTTGGTCAACAGAAAAGGGAAACTAAAGCAAAGCAGTCAAAATTGACAGGGTACGTAGATGATTATTAAAGAAGAGGCGTACTGTTGGGCGACATATATATATATAAGCAAGTTGGGTTCGGAGATAAAACCCACAACCCCAAACAATTTAATCACGCACATACCTGATAACACAATAATAAAAAATAGTGACCAGAGAGTGAGATTGAAGTGATGACGACGATGATGAATAGTTCGATGCTGTATCCAGCTCTACTTGTCCTCCTAATTACCATCTCCGTCGTCAAGTTACTCTTATTCCCGAAAAACAAAAATCGAAACCTCCCGCCAAGTCCGGCGCGGTCCCTCCCGATCCTGGGCCATCTCCACCTCCTGAAGACCCCAATCCACCGCACCCACCAGGAGCTGGCGGCGAAGGTGGGCCCCATATTCTCCCTCCGCCTCGGCCACCGCCGCCTCATGGTGGTGGTCTCCTCCCCGGAGCTCGTGGAGGAGTGCTTCGTCAGAAACGACGTCGTCCTAGCCAACCGCCCGCATCTCGTGATTAGCAAATACATGGGCTACAACCACACCACCTTAGTCGACTCCTCCTATGGCGACCACTGGCGCAACCTCCGCCGCCTCACCACCGTCGAGGTCTTGTCCGGCACGCGACTCAACTCTTTCAACTCAATTCGGCACGACGAGATCAGGCTCCTTCTGCAGAAGCTCTACGGGACCTCTGCTTCCGGTTTCGCGAGGGTCGCCCTAAGATCCTGCCTCTCGGAGCTCACTTTCAATAACATCATGAGGATGGTGGCCGGAAAGAGGTACTTTGGGGAGGGTGACGACGAAGAGGCCGCGGAGTTCCGGGAGATGATAGAGGAGGTTTTCAGCTACGGCGGCGTGTCCAACCCGGCCGACTTTATCCCCGTGCTCAGGTGGATCGATTACAAGGGATTCGAGAAGAAATTGGGCAAGGTCAGCCGGAAGATGGACTCCATTTTGCAGCGGTTGATTGACGAGCAGCGGCAGAGGAGCAAAGTTAATGGCGGCGGCAACACCATGATCGACCACATGCTTTCCCTGCAGGACAAGGAGCCTCAGTACTACAACGACACCATCATTAAAGGCATTATTTCGGTAAATAAATATATATAACTACTAATTCTTCATTTAATGAATTTCAAATTTTTGTCAACCACCAATTAATTAACCTGAATTAATTTAATTATTTCAGGATATGCTTCTCGCCGGGACCGACACCTCAGCTGTGACCGTAGAATGGGCCATGTCTGCTCTGCTGAACAACCCCGAAAAACTCCAAAAGGCCAGAATCGAGATCGACAGCCTCGTGGGCAAAGATCGCTTGATCAACGAGTCCGATGTCTCCAAACTCCATTACCTTCAACACATTATCTCCGAGACCTTCCGATTGTTCCCAGCAGCGCCGTTGCTTGTACCTCACGAAGCATCGGCTGATTGTACCATTGGTGGCTACCACATACCACGTGGAACCATTTTGATGGCCAACGCGTGGGCCATCCACAGGGACCCCAAGATTTGGGATGAACCCACCAGCTTCATTCCCGAGCGTTTCGAAGCGGCAGAGGTTGGGCCCACCAAGCTGATGCCTTTTGGGCTGGGAAGGAGGTCGTGCCCAGGGATGGGCTTGGCCCAACGTGTCGTGGGCTTGACCCTTGCCTCTCTCATTCAGGGCTTCGACTGGCAAAGGGTTGACGAGGCCTTGGTTGATCTGACCGAAGGGACTGGGTTATCAATGCCCAAACTCCAACCCCTCGAGGCCATGTGCAGGGCACGTGATGTGCTTCACAATGTTTTCGGTGGGGTTGGGCTTCCCTCAAACATCTGACTTCATTCTTCTACAATCCCATGCTCCACAGCTTGTGTTTTTGTGTGTGTTTGGTTTCACTTACTTAAAGTCATTCTCCTAGCCTCGTCTTTGTGATTTTCCTCTCAATGTCCNGTTTCACTTGGTTAAAGTCATTTTCCTTCGAGAGCTTGTGTCATTGTAATTTTCCTCTCAATGTCTTTCTCACGTAGATAGTAGTGAGAACGAATAATTAAGTGTTTGTCTTGTGTGTCTGTATTTTCAATTTGGTTTCTAATAATATCATTTTCTTTGTTGTGTCATTGTTTGCAATTTACTCTCAATGTTTTTCTCCCATGCCTATAGTGAGACAGAATAGTTGTTCTCAAACGGAGTATCTTAATTGATAAACAATTACACTAACACTAATTTCTAACTCTTTACTTGTCAAAATCCTTTATTATTTAGCCGTCTATTTCAATTAGTGTATTAAGTAATCAAATGAAAAATACCAGAAGATTCAATTCTTATATAGAATAGAATACATTCAATTTTACAATTCATACATCTCACGGAGGCAGGCAACGCATTCCGACACAAGCAACATACAAAAGCCCGTCACCGAAACATTTACACAAGCGCACAAAATAAAGCATTATCTATCCTCGTCCTCCTCCGTAATCTCCCTCGGGGCCACAAAAGGCTTCGGCGGCACGCCCACTTGTCGATCTCCCTCGAGCATCTCGACCACCTCATTCATCGACGGTCGATCGGTCGGCTTCATCTGTATGCACCACAGAGCCACCACAATAATCCTCCTCACCAACCTCCTCTCCTCATCACTCGCGTCCCTTATCTCTATCTCCTTCCCCGCGTGAATCTGTTCATACACCCACGACGGAAAGTACATCTGTGACAGATCATCCACAAATGGGTTCATGTTCTTCCTTCGGCCCGCCAGTTCAAGCAAGAGCATCCCAAAGCTGTACACGTCAGCCTTGTACGAAACGGCCCCCACATTCTTGTAGAACATCTCGGGAGCCATATAACCCACTGTTCCCCGTGCGCCCGTCAAGTTCACACCCGAGCCGTCACTCGGGTAGAGCTTCGCCAGCCCGAAATCGGAGATCTTCGGGTTGAATTTCTCGTCTAGAAGAATGTTGTGTGGCTTGATGTCGAAATGGAGGATCTGCATTTCGCACCCCCCGTGGAGGTAGTCGACCCCACGGGCCACCCCGAGGGCAATCTCGTACATCTTCGAGTACCTATACCAAAAGAAGCATCAAAGAATTTGACTTTAGAGTTCAAATAATAGATTCAAGGAGTTTTTCAAATAGTCGATCAAATGAAAAAAAGTTCTTCAAAAAGTTCTAAGGTTTTCTTTTTCAATCGTGGATACAGATATACCCTTAACATACTAAAACGACTGACTGCCATTATTGGTATCAAACCAGTAACAGTTCATACAAGCTAAATCTTCTACTCGGCCAAAGAAAAAGCTTTGATTTCAGTAATTGATTTTTCTCTCTATCAAGATGCTTATTGTCATGGGAAACTTGGGTTCTGCTTTCTTTCTTCCTTTCGTTCCAAAATACTCGATTTCTATCTATATCATTTCTAGTAGGCATGTGATACGAAATGAAAGTTTAAATTCAACTATCCCTAAATTACCTCAATGCAAACGCCTCGAGTCCTTGCTGGTTAAAAATGTAGCGGTCCAAGGACCCGTTTGGCAGGTACTCGTACACCAACGCACATCTCGCTCCCTCCACGCAGAACCCGATGAGCTGGACAACATTTACATGGTGGATGCGCCCTATGGTGCCCACCTCGTTTATGAAGTCTTGCTCGCTGGCTGTCGATTGGGCCATCATCTTAACGGCCACGAAAGGCCCACTCCGGAGCTTGCCCTTGTACACAGTGCCAAACGCGCCCTCCCCGAGCCTCTGCCCGAAGTTGTTGGTCATTTTCTTTATCTCCGAATAAGTGTACCTTATGGGTGTGAGACCGTTTTGGCCCTGCAAGAACTCCTCGATTGTTTCGTCCATGGCTAGATGACGCCTTCGCCATTTGTACACAACAATCGTGATCAAGATAGGGAGTCCAATGAGGAACCTCAGAGCTACCACACCAGCTAATTAAATCATCAAGGAAAAAAAAAAGAAAAAAAAAATTGTCAACCATGTGATTGAATGGGTGTATTAACTTGTAATACATTCCAGAAGAAAATGTTTCGATTACAATGTGAAAGAAGAATTTTTTAATTACAACAACTCCCATGATATCTCACATACAAATGCACGCTATTATTATTATTATTATTATTTACTTTTTTTTTTCCACTCACATTCTCTATGGGGATACTTATTAAGCAAATGACAAAGTATAAATAAAATTTACGGCTACAATCTAATGGCTTGGCTCTAATAAAAGTGAAACTAGAGGGTAAACATTCAAAGCAATTTCTAGCTCAAACTAAGAGCTGTTTGGATTGCTCCGATTTAATAAAGGGATTCCACCGTGATTTGCATATTTAGGATATTTGCAAATTATGTAAGATAAATGGTGTTTTATGTAGCCAAGTCAAATCTCAATGAAGTCATCACAGTTTTTTCTATTATGAGAAAAAAGGAGTAATAGAAAAGACACAATCCAGCATTTCAGCCTATCCATCGTGTGTAAACAGAGGTTCTAAATCTTACCAATTGCAAACGCGCTATAGAATCCAACAAAAACTGTCAAAAACAAAAGGAAAAAAACAAAGAGTTAGACGATACTGGAAATATGCTAAAAGATCTGATAAAAATCTGAGTAACTTTTGAGGACATTAGCACTCACGTCCGTAATATTGAAATTGACCTGCATTAGCAAAAAAAGGGCATCATTAGCAACATAAACCATAGAAATCTAACTGAAGCTTAATGATGATAAACGCTTCAGACTCAATGTAAATTTTGTTACTATGCTAAAGGATTAATTCACCAAATTCCCTGAAAACTAGCCTAATTACAAAATACTCCAACTTTAGCTGTTAAAAACACCCTTCCATATTCATATATGCTTAACATATACACAGAACTCTTATGATTGTAATTTGTAATTCCAGAAAAGTAATTCTAATCCCTCTCTCTCTCTCTCTCTCTCTCTCTCTCTCTCTCTCTTTTCATTTTGATTTTCTTTTTAATTTACCAGTGTTTTCATTTTTAATCCCACAGGTAGAATTTCTGATNCAGGACCCCAAAGTCCTCTCACACTCCCCACACAGCACTCGAAACCACGACAGTTCAAACCCATAGCCGAGCCCGCCATAAACACCGCCCAACGACCCGTAATTCACCACGGGCCCACGGGCCGACGCCTGAGCCACCCGGGCCACACTGCAGGAATCCTCCAAATCCGAAACCAAAATCCTTTCCCCTGCCACAACGTAACTGTAAAGTCCCGAGGAATTCGAGAATATACTGCTCCTATTGCCGCAGAATGGGGCCTCCAAGTAATTTGAACCGTTCACGGGGGCTAAACAGTAAATAAACACGACGGGCACATTCCAATCGAAGAAATTGTCGTTCATGCTCCTGGGCCAGTCATCGTAATCGGTGTCGTAGAGCGGGCAGGACGACAAATTCGAGCCGCCCACGCCGGGATCGACCAACCTGATGGAGAACTCGTCGTAATTGATATCCCGGACGAGGTACCTTTTGGATCGGACGTTGAGGAATGTCTGATTGTTGAGGCAGTCCAGCTGGAAGATGCGGTCGCTGTAGCCGCAGGATCTTGAGTCGCCGTTCAGTCGGAAGGGGAATCTGATCTCTCTAACGCCGCCGCAGGATTGTGAAGGGCAGGAGGACGAATTGGGACTGATAGTGTTCTGGGCACATGTGAAGCTGGCTGCTATTGAAATGAGGAGAAATAGGGTTTTAGAGATGAAAAGGGGGTTCTTTAGAAAGGACATGTTGTTTGGGGGGTTTTGTGGTTACTGGTTTTTATGCATGGTGGGGGATTTGTGAAGAAGACGAAGAAAGAAGGGTAGTTAGATCACTGGATATGAACTTCAATTCTTTGTAGTTCATTGAAAAGTAAGGATAAGAAAAGATCAAAAACATGTTATACTCAGTCAAGTCAATTTCGCGTTTAATTTATGTGGGAGTATTTTTAAATTGGGTGCAATTGGCCCGAGTTGAGGAAGTCAGTGATAGGGACGTCGCCGTACTTTTGCCACTGACCAGATAATTGCCTACCGCCCGGTGTCGGTAGACCAATCCACTTGAGATTTTTTTTTTTTTTTTATTTTTTTTTTTCTTTTCTTCTTCTTCTTCTTCATCCACTTGAGATCTTAATTCACCATTTCTCCTTCCATTGTTTTCTCAATAAAAAGGGGCAGTGTATAACTATAATCACTGAACTATTTACAGTATAGTGTAGTATATTTGATAAGGTTCCGAGTAAATGGCTTCCGTTCAGAACGGTCCTTGGTTCAAGGGTGTGCCTTTCTTTTCCCGGTTTCCGATCTGAGATGGAGCTCGTGGGTACCTGCAAAGTACGCCGGAGGTTTTCCGACGTAAAACCCTCCGAAGCTTAAGTCAGTATTTGAGAGACGAATGGAAAAGAAGATGAACAATAATAGTATTTTGGTAGTTCAAGAATAAATGTGACTTAAATGTTTCTTACACTGTTTCCGTATATATAGGCAATTATCACTTGAACAATTATCTTAAAATATTACATTAATTCCCGATTATTCATCAAGTCGAGGATCGAGCCTAAAGGCTCGATCAGACGAGGTATGGGATCGAGCCTAAGAGCTCGATCACATGAGATCGAAGGTCGAGCCTAAGGGCTTGATCACGAGATCAAAGGTCGAGCCCCTCAAGCTCGATCACGCAGCCGGGCTGATTTCAAGGGTTGCATCCTTTATCTCGGGCGGTTCGATCTATGTGTACTTATATCCCTATCAATATTGCATACAAATAATGCTTTTTTTTTTCGATATTTGGAAATCATAGCTGTTTTGGCAAGCAGATTATAATAGTTGTTTACAAATAATCATTTAATAAATAACAAATTGTATAGTTGTTTTGTAAAATTATGATAATATGTTATTTTACGCGTCATTTATTTTCAAAATACTTTAATATTGAAATTTTTTGGAGGGTTAGATTCAATGTTTTGAAAACCGGATCGGACCGGCCGGTTCGACCAGGAACCGGCCTATACACAGGTCCGATTCAATGAGTTGAACCGTTGTAGTCCAAAACCGTGAATGAACCGTACGAACCAGTCTTAAACCGGCAGAACCGGTGGACTAGAACCGGTTCCCACGGTCTGGCGGTTTGTCTAAAATGACTCTTCCAAAATACAAAAAAATAAAAATAAAAATAAAAATAAAATCAGTAGACAATTCCTGAAAATAAAGACTCCTAATCTATCATACTTTTATGCCCTTTTCTCCGACTGCAATTGTTGCTTGATAAGTAGAAAAATGTGCACATTTTATATATTTAATAGTGTATTTTTATACACTTATTCTATTCGCACATGTTTATTTTTCGACTTATTTATTATTTGGATGGATTCATATACATTGATATTTTTATATTTATTTTCAGCTCATTGGAGTATTTTGTGTACGCGAAACATTGGACGGAGTTTGCATAATCAATTATCGAGACGTCCAATACCCGTTAATTTGGCCCACGTATTAGCATTAAATTCAGGCCCAATTTGGAGAGTTTACCGAGTATATTAGTTCAAGATCTATTAAATAATTGGGCCAAGAGATGAATTAGATTATCCTGGCAACACACACGCATTCGGCCGACTTTGAATGGTAAGAGGACAATTTGATTTTGGACTCTTTTTGGAAAGGATTTATTTTACGCGAGAGGATTATTGGAAAAAGGAGGATTCACGCCACGCATAGGAGAGAGACATTATTTTTTACGGGAAGAAAATAAAACAGAGAGCGGCAGGAAGAAAGAAAAGCCGCACGCCAGAAGGAAAAAAAGAACACTACGCGGAGGGAAGCCGCATCCGCACACGAGAGAGATATTTTTATCTTCTCTCTTTTATCTAGTATTTATTTTTATTAGTATGTTAGGCTAGACTTTTTATCCAGTTTGAGGGGATGTTTGAACCCTAATTCCGATTTTTCTATGAATTGGATGATCTTTATTTATTGTTGATTAATCTACACGACGTATTCATTTTGTTGATGAGTTGATTCATGCTATCTATGTTTAACGTTTATGAATTATGGTGTTTGATTTAGTTTGGCCAGCTAGGTTGAATATTCATAGTTTAATTGCTAGATTCGAGACTTTAATCCGTAATTGTTATTGTCTCGTTTCGTTAGTAGTAAATTAGGGGTCGTGCATCTCTAGGGTAGCGTGAACATAAGTTAAATGGTCCGAGCTTACGCGTCCATTGCTTAGACTAATCTATTTTTCTAGAAATTAATGCTGCTAGTGCACTAAATCTAGAGAGCTTATTCTAGGTTGTCCACTAGTTAGGTTTAGTCGAAGAGCCTATTTCGATTAAATATTCTGTAAGGGAAAATTCGGTTAACAGAGCTTGTTGTTAGCTAGGGTTGGTAATTCATTAACAATTTAAAGAAGGCGTCGAAATTAATTAACGGTAGATCTAGATTGGGTGATAACTGAACCGAAAAACTGGATTTCTTTTATTTTATTTGATTTTTAGTTTATTTTATTATTTTTATTTTTATTTTCTATTAAAACCAATCCCCCTTTTATTGCTCTCGTAGTTTAGTTCAATTAATACAAAATTATCACGATTTTATTCCTACTCCTCGTGGGATCGACCCTTACTCGCCACTACTACTAGCTAGTAGAGGTTAGTCGAGGAAACTTTATAAATTTAAATTTGCCGCGTTGCGACGCGCGGTCAAATTTTGGCGCCGTTGCCGGGGAGTGGCGAAATTGAGTTGTGATTGTTTTAGTGTTAATTGAATTAGGTAGTTAGATTAGTATTTATTTTATTATTATTATTTTTTTCTTTGACTCTTTTAATCCCCCTATTTTTCTTTTTCCTTTTGTTTTCTTTTACAGGTGGTACTTATTATAAATGGATGCGTATTGGAGCCCGGAATGTGCTTACGCTTACGATTCGTATTATGAAATGAAAAAGAGGGAAATAAGAGACCAACATCGTGAGGTTAGGATATCGGCTATGATCCAAGAAGCCATTGAGAGTGTTCGTCAAGTTCTAAGGAAACCATGTCGTTTGTGTCATACCACACATCACGTCACCGATGATTGTCCACTTTTGATCGAGAGGTATGGTGCACGCAGAGCTACCGAGAGAGATTGGTATCGACGAGACGATTGGGCGTATTCAAATTTCAATAGGGGCCATTACAGTTGGGGAGATTGTGGAAATTCATTCTATGAAAATCCATGATATTCTCGATCGTATGAGCCTACTTATGAGCACGAAGAATCTCAATTCCACTATGGAGGCTCACAATATTTTTCAGAACCTTCGCTTGAACAAGAGACTAGTCCATCGTTGATGAAGTTACTTGAAGAGTGTCGAAATTCCTTGATGGCTAGTAGCAAAAAGATTGGAGATGTATTGAGCGAATTGGATTCCCGAGCCAAGAGTCGGCTAGCCGAAGCCAGCCACGATGATGACGGAGAGCTTAGGATGAGCAGCAACACGGAGCTTGAGGTGCTGGACGAAGTTAGCTTTGAGCCGATAAACGATCGAAGCGACGAAGAGAATGAAGAAGAAGGCGATGAGGAGCAAATTTTCGCTGTTACCGGCCCCCTTGATAAAAACCTGGTAGCATTTACTACTGCTATTGGGGCCCCCGATAACAGCTTACTCGAAGGTGAAAATGACGTAAAAGCTTCGCCGATTGTCCCGAGAATGACTGAAAATCAATCTCTTCTATCCGAGTTCAAACAACCAGCAACCGAGCATGTTGAAAACCAAGAGCCTTACATCCTAGAGGTAGTAGAGATTTTTCCTCTTATCCATGAGCCCGGGCTAATCTTTTACTATGATCATTTGCCACCGAGAAGAAAAGATCCGGTAAAGCACCCGACACCGGACGAGGGGATCTTTCATAAGCATGGAGCTGCAAGGTTCATGCTCCTTTGAGGCCACCTATGAAGTCGCCATGGACCGCTTGAAGAAAGCGGAGCAATAAGTCGAGCCAACGACAATAAAAAATGGCGCTTGTTGGGAGGCAACCCAATGGTGTGCGACGTGACTTCTTCTCTTGATAAGGTGAACTCTTTCCTTTTACTTTGTATTTTGTTCTATTATGTGAAACTCTAAGTTTGGGGAGATTCATTAGAGTGAGATATATTTGTGTGAGTTGTTGAGTTGTGTTCTATTTTATATATTATCTTGATTTGCTGGAGTATATGTTACTTGTATGTGGAATTTTGCGATGATGAATTGAGTGTCTGTTGGAATATTATGCTAGTTATGATGACTCGGGTTAATGGTTTCTGGTTAAATTCTTGAAGTGTTGTCATTTAAGGGACAAAGACATGACGATTGATATTTATGTGATTTATTTGTAGTAACTTGGTCTTGAACTGTTTATATTTTTGAAATGTGCTAGTAATTATTCTGCTTGATGTCGATTGTGTGAGGTAACTTGACGTGGAAAGTTGGGAGTTGATTGTCTCGAAAAAAAAAAAAGAAAAAGAAAAGGAATGGTGGTGTGAATAATGAATGTGGAGGAAAAGAATAATATGTGTTGAAAAAAAAAATGAAAAAAAAAAATAAGGATCATGGGCTGCAACAGCTGCCAGTCTGTGAAGTTTTAGTGCAACACTCTAGCACGCATAGCTAAATAGACTGTGACGAAGCTGCCATTCCCAAGTTAAAAAAAAAAACAAAAGAAAAAAAAGAAAGAAAAAGAAAAAAAAATCGAGACATTTGATTTCTGGCTAGAAGCGAAGAGGAACTAAACCG